AAAAACACCTTTTAGAAACCTTGGAGGAAACCTTTCCATAATCACTTTTCTATTATATATTTCCCGTTAACAAGGTTTCTGAGGAACTAGACTTTCTAAGAATGTCAAAACAAATAAGAGTCCTCTATTGAGTCGTTCTGTTCTCTGTATTATTTCAGCTGTTTTAGGTGTTTTCCCATTCAGTCACTTCACTTTTTCTGAGCCTTTTCTTTTTCCTTTGGTCCCCAACGATGCCTTGCAATTTTAAACTAAGATGTAACACATTCTCCCCCTTCCCCGCCATGACACCAGTCTCTCTGACGGAGCACTATGGTCTGAGCTGTGCAGAAGTTGGGAGAGAGGAGTCCGGCGCAGTATTAGTTAAATGCCCACAGAGTACAGACTTTGGCAGAATGGCAAAGGTCCAGGCAGGTGGGGCTTGGGGTGCTGGTGGAAGAGGAGATTAGTCAGAAGGGTGAGGGAATTGGGGTGATTGCAAAAGAATCCGAAAGTCAGCAAATTAAAAAAAAAAAAAAGGGATCAGCCGGGCGCCTGTGGCTCATGCCGGTAATCCTAGCTCCTCAGGAGGCTGAGAGCTGAGGATCAAGGTTCAAAGCCAGCCTGGGTAGGAAAGTCCTTGAGACTCTGATCTCCAATAAACCATCAGAACACCAGTAGTGGTGCTGTGGCTCAAGTGGTAGAGCGCTCGCCTTGAGCAAAAGAAGCTCAGGGGCAGAGCCCAGGCCCTGATGGCCAACACTACCACCAACACAAAGGATTAATTTAGACATAGGGTCAGACCTCAGAACCAAGACTGAAAATGAAGCGTATGTAATACACAGCTTTTAAACACATCATAGGAGGTTTTACTTTAAGGAAACCTCAGTTTGCAATACTTCAATATTCGAGTTGGAATTTACAACTCTATGGGGGGGCAAAAGAGCCACCTAGGCATATCACCATCATCACCATCATCATCACCATCATCACCATCATCATCACCATCATCACCATCACCATCATCACCATCACCATCATCATCACCATCATCATCATCACCATCATCATCACCATCATCATCATCATTACCATCATCATCACCATCATCATCATCATCACCATCATCATCAGCAGCATCATCATCATCAGCAGCATCATCAGCATCACCATCATCATCAGCATCACCATCATCATCAGCATCACCATCAGCATCACCATCATCATCAGCATCACCATCATCATCACCATCATCATCATCATCATCATCATCATCACCATCATCATCATCATCACCATCATCATCACCATCATCATCATCATCACCATCATCATCACCATCATCATCACCATCATCATCATCATCACCATCACCATCATCATCACCATCATCATCATCATCACCACCATCATCATCATCACCATCATCATCATCACCATCATCATCATCATCACCATCATCATCACCATCATCATCATCATCACCATCATCAACATCACCACCACCACCATCATCATCATCATCACCATCATCATCATCATCATCACCATCATCATCATCATCACCATCACCATCATCATCATCATCACCATCATCACCATCATCATCATCATCACCATCATCATCACCATCATCATCATCATCACCATCATCATCATCACCACCACCACCATCATCATCATCATCACCACCATCATCATCACCATCATCATCATCACCACCACCACTATCATCATCATCATCACCATCATCATCATCATCACCATCATCATCTTTAGCTAGTTGTACAAAGGAGTTGACATTGAACAAAGCAGTCTAGCAATACAATGCATCTCGATCAACACCGCCCTTCCACCCTTTCACCCATCCACGCTCCCCTCCCCACCCCTTCCCTCGTCTGACTCCTGTGGGCTCCGGAGCTTCCTTACTCACTGCGTCTGCATGCTGGCTCTCTTCCTGGACCCCCACGCCAAGCCCTGCCCGCTCCTGCCCCGGCCGGCCTGGGGGTGAGGTCCAGGAAAACTGCACCCCATCCCGAGCATCTGCTGCTACCCACCCCCCACCCCCGGAAGTTCTGCCAGGGAGTCACCAAAACTCCCAGCAGACTCTGCAGGTGGATTCTCACTTCAACGCTCTTCAAGGATGCCATCAAAGGCTCTGTCCTCTGGGGCCGGTGGGGCCGGGATTCTCCCAGGGGGTTTCAGGCGTGGACATCATCCTCCCTCAGCTGAACCCCAGCCTTAGGACGCGGCCAGGAAACCCTTCACCTGTGCATCCTGTGCATTCTGGGTCAGACAGCAGGGGAGCGTCACCATTTCATCCATTCCACCCATCACCAGCTCAGCCCTCAACAGCCTGAAGCTGTGTCTCGTTAGGGAATCAATTTCACCAAGCAGCCTCCCTGGGGTATTGACGGTACGTCCATCATGACCTTGGATCACGCACACCTGCTCCATCCTACTCTTTCTTAACCTCCCTGTCCTCCTCTCACTTCTTTTTAAGTGTTTTTGCGGGGTCTCAGTATACTGCTCTCCTCTGTGTGTATAATTAATGTATATTATTAATGTAATAGGCACCTAGTACATACTATACAATCATATCATATAGTATATTTAACATGCATATTATATACTACGTAATACATATAAGGTAATATAGGATATATTATACAGATGTGATTTATTTATAACAGTCCCCTCCATCACTGACTTTCCCTCTTCTGACCTACGAATGCTCCCCAAAGAGTCCCTTTTCACAACCATACCACATTATTATTATTATTATTATTTGGGTCCGGTCGTGGGGCTTGAACTCTGGGCCTGGGGGCTGTCCCTCAGCTCTTCAGCTCAAGGCTAGCGCTCTACCACTTGAGCCACAGCGCCACTTTCAGCTTCTTTTTTTTTCTGCTTATGTGGTGCTGAGGAATCGAACCCAGGGCCTCATGCATGCAAGGCAAGCGCTCTACCACTGAGCCACCTTCCCAGCCCCACATTATTATTTTTTAGCTCTAGATTCTTCACATGACCAAAAAATGCACTGTTCTAAAAGAGTGATTGTTTATAATATTTAACACCAACCTATTTCTGCATTAAAGTTGGAAAATATCTTGTACTCGAAATAATATAACAGTTACCAAAACATATTGTCTCTTTTCTCAGACTGAAACGGAATCCCTTGGTCTTTGAACTGCAATGGTCTTGCCTCACCTCAAAGGACATTGGCCTCTAAAATGTAAGGACCAGAAAACATATAACCCACAAGGATTAACACACATACAAAGCATGAGAACTAAGAAACATCTCTTTCCATACAACACAGCCAGTGTTTGCTTAGGCGTGATTCAGCATAGTTTTCATTTGTTCTCTGCAATTATCCAGGAATTTGTAGACTTTGGCTTAATTTTATAAAATATTCAATTGTCAGACCTTAAATCTGAACGATCTATTTGAAAAGCTTGGTTATGATATGTTCCCTAAAGCTGAAGGCACATGTCTGGGTGGAGAAAATGTTATTTTGCACTTTGTCCTGGAAACCTGATCTGAATCTCAGAAGCCAGGACTTTGGACACACAGAAAGCCATTAATGTCCCTATGCAGCTAAGACTGCGAAAATAATGCAATCTCTCTCTTTCTCTCTCTCTCTCTCACACCTATCTATCTATCTATCTATCTATCTATCTATCTATCTATCTATCTATCTCAAAGGCAGTACTTGATATATAAGAAGGACAAAGCAAAGAGGAAGCTGTATTTACAGATTCTTCCTGCTAGCTATTGTAATTCTTCCTTTCTTCCCTTTTCTTTCTGTTTTTTTAACCAGGGCAGAAGAACATTTTCAGCTGCTCTATTTCCTGTCTAAGTATGTAATGGAGATTGGGCTAACTCAAAGCCTTCTCCTCTCAACGTTTCACCATAGTATCAGTGTGGAGTGTGGGAAATAAACGTAGCAGCAAGTACTGAAGTGTGGGTGATTACTTTCAGTGCTCCAGGTCCTCGGCAGGGTGCAGGTTCCGAGGGGTGGGACTGTTGACAACCACCACGTTTTGTGGCAGAGGCTGTGTGCCAAGCAGGGAACAAAACCAGAGTCCAGTGTCCACGGAAAATTCGCGGAATGGTCTCCACGGCACGTGCAGTTTACATGCATTCACATGTATTCTATCACAGTACGTTGTTTAGGTGGGAAGTTTGATGAGGTTACAATTCCTGCTTTATCATTTGGCATTAAGAGTCAGTTACATGTTTGATAACTAGTTTCTGGTGCTAAACAAGGAAAGCAAAGTTTCTGTGAGGATAAAATTGTTCATCTCTTGAGAACTGTTGACATAATTAAATTGTTGTCAGTTTAAAATTTGATTTATAAGTACAAAAGCCTGCTTTCAGATGCAGCTATGTGTTACCCTCTACAGGAAACAAAAGAGCAAGTCAAGAGTTCCAGTTACAGATCTTGTACTATGTTTCAGATGTCCAGTTGATACAATCTTCCCATTCTAATACAATCCCAGCTTTTCTACAAGACTGTGAAGGCCAAGATGACATCATTTATAAATAATGACTCTTTGAAGGTGAGTGAAAATGATATGTGAACAAAATCAGTTCCTTCTACGATTTGAAGATGTATTGGCTGTGCATTGACATCTATCTTAATACCCTCTGGTTGAGCATTTTGTTGAAACTTCTAAGCCAGAAGAAAAAAAAAAAACGAGATTGCACTTTGCAATTCCAAGGTAAATGATCGTGCTTGATTATAGTTTCCACAAACATTTCTTACAGCACTCTCTGAAGTTATACATGAAATAAAACAATGAGGGGCAATCATCTCTGTCTGCTCGACAAGCAAGCTACTTTATATTTTAGCCTGAATGTCAAAAGCCAATCAGATCGTACGCTAGAGACCAACAATTAAATCACATTTGTTTTCAAGATAAAAGCTTAGGGATCACTGTGAAAAACGCCATCACAAATGTTTCATGAGATAGTCAGGGGAGGAAAAGAAACCCAAAAAGGTTTTTCTCCTTTCATCTTACCTTGTGCCACACAAACAGCCCATAATATAAACCAAACGATCTCAGCCGGTGTTCTCATGGCCGTCTTCAGAGGGACATTTGCTAGCAGAGAGCTCTCAGGGTACAGCTCTCGGCCCAGAGAAGTTTTGATTAGTGTAGCAAAATACTTGCTTCAAAAGGAAGTCGAAGCCCAGTGTAGGAAGCAGGGATTACTAAATACTCCACCCACCAGAGACTTCTGCAAAGTAAACGGAAAAAAAAGTCACCCACAGCCGGGGCAGCCCTGGTGTCTGAGCCCAGCCCTGTGACCGGCTGGTGTGTGTGCGCCGCATGACCTCTCTTGGCACAGTGCTGGTGGAGGGGGGGTGGTGGCGGGGGTTGATGGTGTGTTGAAATGAATTCAGGGTTCTGGGAATACTGTGAGCTTGTGGAAGGCAGTTTCTGGATTTCCTAAAACCTGCCAGTTGTGCTAAATGAGTCGAAGGGTGTGCAAAACCACAGACCAGAAATAATGGAAGCGCTTTGAAAAAAGAAAAACAATCCTTGCCCAAAGGACTTGAGCTCAGGCAAAGTTTTCACAATCAACAAACATCGAGGCCTTTCTGTAGCTTTGCCAAGAATGCACTGTGCGGGTGCTGCTGGGGGTGGGAGAGGGGTCAGCTAAAGTGGGGGGGGGGGACTGAGCTGGGGGAGGTGAGCGTTTTTCCAGTCATTCCTGACGTTTGTCTTCTACTGCTGTGATACGACAAGAACGTGGAGAAGTCACATTGTGAGAAGTTTTTTTTTATGAAACTTTGTCCCAAAGACCAGCAGCCCACAAACACACTTCACACTGCCAGGAAACTGAGCCCTGAAGGCCTGACCGGAAAGGAACCCACACAATACCAACAAACCAACTCAGCTCCAGTGGAGAGCTGAAGTGGAACTCCATGGAGGGGTGGGGGGGGGGTCAGGAGCCAGGGGACAAACCCAGAGACACCTGAGCTTGGTCCCGGCCTAAATAGTGTGAGGGTCAGGGGTCAAGGGCACAGGACACTGGAGTCCCAGGCATGACAGGTTTAGTAACCCATCATCCAAATTGTCCCCTGCCCCCCAGGGATTCAGGTACACCCATCCCCTGGGGGGGGGGGCGTTTCCTTCCCCCACCTTGCACCAGTGTGGCCAAAATGGCCGGCCAGACCCGCTCTCCCCAAGATTCAGAGCATTGTCCATGCAAAGCTCTCCTAAGGCTATAGTGTCTGCATTTCCCCAAAGCAGAGCTCTCCTAGCTCACCTTGAGCCAGGCAGCTGCATTCAGTGAACCGCCTCTCTTGCCTCTGGGGTTTTTACACTGGGCACAGAATTCCCTCCACCCAGCAAGAGGCACGGGTGGCTGTGAGGAGGCCGTCAGGGGCAAGGTACACTCGGCCTCCTCACCTCTCTACTTGTGCCCTGCCTCTTGACATTAGCCTGCGAAAGCCTCCAAAGGTGTTCCTCAGCAGGCCCCTGTCCCACCCCATACAAAAGGAAGGTGATCATCTAACCATCAAGAAGCTTAAATGCAAGAGGGAGGGAGGTGGGGAGGGAAAGGATCGTGGGAGAATAACAAAGGAGGGGGAACAAGGCTCCACAAGAAATGTACTCATGACCTGACTCATGTAACGGTTGCCCCTCAGTACAGCATCCTTACAATAAAATAACACTAACAAAACCAGAAAGTCTAAATAATTGTAATAAGCATCTCTGTGTGTGCTTGAAATGGATATAAGCCAATTTTAATTATGACTGATTACACTCAGGTCCTCTCTCTTGCTAGGCAGATACTCTACCCGTGGAGCGACACCTTGCGTCATCTTTGCTCTTTGTTATTTTCTTCAGACAGGGTCTTCTTTCTCAGAGGACCAGCCAGGCCTGTGATCCTCCTGTTCATGCTTTCTGTACTTGCCGAAATGACAGGTGTGCACAATCACACCTAACTTTTTCTGTTGAGATCTCTTGAATTTTTTTTCTGGGCTGGCCTCCCACCCAGTCAGATTGACACCTAACTGATTGAAATGGTATCTTAGGCACTTTTTGCTTGGGCTGGCTTCAAACTGAAATGCACTTGATTTCAGCCTTCCCAAGTAGCTAGGATAACAGGCAGGAGCTACCCTTCCCAGCTTTAACAGTGACCTTTTAACCCTTATGCTAAAGATGATAATTGCTTTACATATCACCATTAAAGGACTGGAGTACTATGAGTATGACTGGTATTACTTGTGCTATTCAGCCTCATACCCTCACATGGTACATGTTAATGATTAGCAGCCTTTTGTTTGAGTTGAAGAAACTTCCTTTAACAGTATTGGTGAAGCAAGACTTGTGGTGATGGATTTCCTTAGCCTTTGCTTTACACAGGGAAAGTGATTTCTCCCTGAAGCCTTTTTAAAGTACTGAAAACAAAACTCTGCCAACCTAGAACTCTCTATTCAGAAACAAAACCCAAAACAAAAACCTGTAAAGAACAAAACTTAGAGTCATTTCAGATATAGAAAAGCCAACTAAATTCATTAGCAGCTAAGCCACGCTACAAAAAAATAAAAAATAAAAAAGATATAAGACCGTAACAATGCCTGACAAGAAATGTCCTCATTCCCTTACTGATGTAACATAACCTCTCTGTACAGCATCTTTACAAGAAAATAAAAACTAAAAAATGATACAGGAAAAATTCAGGCAGAAGGAAAATGAGACAGCATGGAAATCTAGATCTCACAAAGGAATGAAGAACATTGCCAGTGGAGATGGCAGCGAACTAGTTTATTCTATGTTGGTAACCTTTCAAAAAGTTCTTTATGTCAAGTTTTGGAATGGGTTCTTTATAGTTCCTCCTGAGAGCCCAATAGTCCATGGAATGGGGGCCTCTGGTGATGGGCAGATAATGCAGGCCATTTCTGCGAGGGTGAATGTTTCTGTAAGGCAGTGCCACATAAGGGCACAGAAGAGGCTTCATTTCCCACAGGTTGACCTTGGTATCTATTTGAAAGAGCAGCTAGAGATCATCAAAAACTGAGCAAGGGAGCTGGTAGGTGTACCGGACAGTGAGTCAGTCACTTTTGTCCTGATGGATGTTAAATAACAGGAGTGACATGTGGAGATCTGGTCATCGGCCCCTCCATATGTGATGTGTACATTTTGACTTGTCAGGCTTGAACTTTTCTGTTCATGTGTGCGTGGCCCCCAGCATGGGGAGATTGCCTTTCACACAAGTAGAGACACAATAGAGCTACAAACACAAGAGCAGTGTGGAGTCCAGTGTGCTTTATGTTACGAATTCAAACCATAAATAACCTATAATTTTCTGATTTTAGGTCAGATTTTCCTCTGCTACTGATTCAGATGTGTAATGGTCTCCTTTCTCTCCTTGTAGAATGAGCTGGAAATTTCCTGGTGACTTGTTATCTTTCCTTTTTTTCCCCCATCCCCTATCTCTCCTTTTGAGCACATGGGAAACAATACCCATGACTTCTACTGTAACACAAGATAAAGATAAATGCCATCTTTTCTGCTTTATCTTGGAACATCTCCCTACTTACATGATGAAGAAAGCCTAGCTTCCTCCTGAGGAGGACAATGGCTTTACTTTGTCCCAAAGAGACAGCCCTAGCTGGGCCAATCTACTAATTTGGACAGAAGTGAAGAGCAGTGACTTATTGCACTGAAAATGCACAAGTTCTTTGCACATTATCAGGTATGTTTCTAAAATTAGATTGGGAGATCTTTAAATAATTGAGCCATGAAGAAAAAGGAAGAGGAGGAGGAGGAGGAGGAGGAGGAGGAGGAGGAGGAGGAGCAGGAGGAGGAGGAGGAGGAGCAGGAGGAGGAGGAGGAGGAGGAGGAGGAGGAGCAGGAGGAGGAGGAGGAGGAGGAGGAGGAGGAGGAGGAGCAGGAGGAGGAGGAGGAGGAGGAGGAGGAGGAGGAGGAGGAGGAGGAGGAGGAGGAGGAGGAGGAGGAGGAGGAGGAGGAGGAGGAGGAGGAGGAGGGGAAAGAGGGAGGAAAAAGAAGAGGAGGAGGTGTTCAGCGACTGCTCCTCCACCATCTCCCCTTTCACACTAGCTCCTTGTCTTCTAGGCTCCTAGTCAGGTGTCCCACATACACAACATAGCCAATTGTGGAGCTTTAAACTCTTACAGGACACATTTGGGATTTGTTTTCTGCCCAGGGAAGCTGAGTTTAAGCGAGGTTCATGTGACTCGCCCATGTTAGCAGCAGCATGGAGGTTTGAGCCAACTGTCTGATTCCACAGCTGCTCTGGGCAGAGAAAAACTTTTCAAGCTGGTCCTTTCGTCTAACAACAGACTTGGAGAGACACAATTTAGTAATTTGTGTAATGACAGTAGAATATAACTGCATTTCCAAAGTTATTTTTCCAATAATATCTAATAAATTATGCATAGTAGCATATCAGATAGAAGTAAATGTTTCTTAGGAAACATAAAATACTTTGCTGTTGACTCACCATTAGCGAGTGACTGGAACTAAATGGTTAATAATCATTTAGTAGTTGGAAGCAAATGTCTAATTAGTCAGCTAAAATAGTCCATTAGTTTGTTCTATATGTCAAGCTTACATGAACCTCAAATTCAAAATGACTCTTGAATATTCTCATTAAAATTTTGATGGACATTATTTCATCTGTATTTTCTCCTGAGAATAAAGAACTCTGTTTCCTTAGTTCTAATTATTAAGTCACTGAGCAAAAAGAAAAAATATTAAACAAACATTAAAATGATACTGGGTACATGACTAGCTTTAGGAAATTAGATGTAGGACTGCATCAACATTATCAAAAAACATTGTGGCTATTGCTAGTACCATTGTTAAAATTGAATGCTACTAAAAATTCCAATTTGTTTGTAATATGCTACCTAGATTCCTATTTAATAAAAATCAACAAAAGATAGAAGGAAACAGAATTCCATTTACAAAGTACCTCTCAGCAATAATTTTAAAGTGTATTCCAAAGTTCTTTTAATACAGATGCCATAACTTGAGAATAAATCCATACCACAGTCCCAATAAAAGAGCATATTTTTCATTGAGACTATCCTTAATAATAGATAGTTTTATTTTTTTTTGGCAAGGCAAATGATTAGAAATTAATGTGAATGCCCAAATTGTGAAGATTCCTTTAGATGACATATAAAAATGACTTTAAAATTGTTCACAAACGAAAATAGTCATTTCCTAAAAAAATTATGATTGAGCAGCTGAATAAAATACCCATTTTTTTCTCATTTGTTATCTAGTTCCATCTCTCTCAGCCACGGTCCAAAG